ATGTTTGAAGTGAAAAGGATGTACTGAGCCTTGGGTCATTCATTTTCTGGACTTGTCCAAGGACATGTCCTAAATAGGCCACGTGACGACCACCGAAAACCTCAATTTGATCGACCTCATTTTAGATCGGTCCAACGCTCTACTGTTCATATTACAAGTCAAGAATCTATTGTTTGCTAAAGAGAGACCAATAATGAGTGAATGGTAACGGTGACCGTCCTCGAGAAGGCGGCGGCCGAGATCACAAATGTGAAATGTGTCTAGCACTTCAGATGAAGGTGACGAATGTTTTAAAAAAAAAAGTAAAAAAAGGAGACATGATGTGTGTTCTCAGCCTTTACTAGAATTCCGCCTCAACCATCCATCTTCCCAAAGTGGATGATTCCATCTCTTCTGCTTCTTTTTCTTCAAGTTCAACCATTTCACTACATAAACCACTATTGTTTTCGTTTAAGACTTGAATCTATCACAGACCTCCAAAACTCGACAGTTCAGAACATACCAAGAATCGTGTGGGATCGCTCCCGCAAAAGCAAGTAAGCTGGACTTTAAAGCGTGACATTGCTTGACCAGGAATAAGACATTGTAAAGCAGGTTCTGGCATCCTTGGGAAACGATTCTTGCCTGGACCTCACTTTCTCGTGTGCCGACAATGAACCAGTCGTGCACAAAAAAAAAACCATGGAAGTCACCATCAACAAGGAAGAGTAATCAACGTATTTATCTGCTTCTGAGATGATAAAAAGTGTCAGGGATGCCTGATCCTTGTCATCTCAGAAGCTTTCCATGCGCCTAAAGAATAACATAAATGCTGATGTCTTGTACTGGGAAGTAGATATCGTGATTACAGAATGCAATAACTTCTAAGAATACCTTGTGCGAATCAAGATGGTCAGTATTATTGAATTCAGAAACTGATTTACTTTGGAATTGCAAATCCGGGTCTGATCGTTGTACCTCTCAAGTTAGGTTCAAATGTCAATGGCAAAGAGTTAAGTTCTTTTTGCGTGCGTATGTTGATTGCATGGGGGAAAAGTTAAGTTTCAACAAGTAACGTTTCTCAAGGATGTCGCAGTTTGCTTTTAAATGCTTTTTGTCTGAGCAGGCGATTCTTACACTCCGAAGTCTTGTTTGATATTGTTTTGTTATAGTCCCAGTCAAACATTGCTCAGCAATTTTTCCCTAGCTCTTAACTTGAAATTTGAAGTTGTAAGTACCCTCAGTATTTTTAATATTCATGAATAGCCAAAAAATTAACTCAGCATTCTAGCTCGGACCCTTTATGGTATGGTATCCAACTGGAACATCATCATGGTGGAGCAAGTCCATTGGTGCCTCTCCTATCAAAATCGGTCCAGTAGTTCCTGCTCTAGGGCGGCCTATGGATATATCAGCATTGAGTACTTTCAATTCTTCTTCCTAATATTAATACCTGAAAACTGCAGACCTTTATGCTAACACCTCCAAACGGTATTATTTGATAAGATTTGTTCAGTGCTTCACTAAAGTAATTTTCAAGACTGACATTTACCTGCTCAGTATTTCTAACCACGTGAAAGTGAGACTAGTCGATAGCTACCTTATATGTCTAAATCGGTTTAGGAATTTTGTTCCTCTTAGGTAATCAGTTCATTTTCCAGTCTTCGCTACTCTTCAATACATTCGATTCTCGTTCATTCCTCTGTAGGCTTTGTCCATATGTCCAATATGGACTCTCTTCAGTTTTTCCCGTACATTTGTTGACATTTTCCCGTTAGGCTTTGCCTCAAGGCATTGGACTCAGTGATTTCCTACTATGGCAAGAGGACAAAAAGATCCCCATCCCGCTCTTTCACGTCTCCGAAAATACTTGTTCGTCACAAATAAAACTTGCTGGTCTCTGAAATCTTGGAGTAGGAAGAAAGTGTTATCCAGAATTGGAGTTCATGCAAAAGGGTGAACCGAATTGTGAGATGGAAAGTGGTATGGGAAAGTGCCATTTCCACTACTTTTCTTAGATGCTATCATGCTTTATGATGGGTTGTTTCCTTATGGTGCTCATGCCATTCTTTCCGCCATTGTTGGACAAAAGTTTACATCCGCTCCGTTATGCTCATGAAAACTGAAACTGTTCTCCCAGAACCAAGTTGCCGAAGTAGTGATAAGCACCTAAGGATGATAATAACATTATGCGACGATGAGATAGAACTTGGAACCTAACGATCGTTGGAGACTTGTCGACATTCTTTTTCAAAATAGGTTGGGGGACGTATACATAATGAGCCTCGGAACACAATGGGAGCCCATGTTTTTCCGGATCTTCTTCCACTGACCCCCACGGCCTCGGTGGAGCAGGCAAGAGACGAAATGAGGCAACTGTGTAACAGCAACAGGAGAAAGAGAGGAGACCTCCCTGTCCTGTTCTTAATACCTCATCAGAAGCCAAGCACCCTGGCATGCATAACGTAACAGCTTCAAGGGGAATAAGATGAAGAAAAAAAAATTCCCCCTAGGTCATCACGATTTCAGTGGGTGGGGTGAAACCCATGCACTTTTACTTTGTGTACACACTCTCTCGATCGAAACCTTTCGTTTCTCTACTTTCTTGGGCCAATGAAGTACCCCCTCTCGTGTGGACCCGTATATTCGTGTCTATGCGATATGATCAAAGAAGTGTTATGCAAGCTTACATACAGGTCGAATATAGAGCTGCGGGCATCTTTCCACCCTCCCTCTCGGTTCAGGTCAGGGCTATTATCTGAATGCGTGTCTCTGTCCACGATACCGGAACTTTGATTAAAGTTGACGCAATCTCAATCTCTGCCTCTTCCGTGTCAACTGTCATCGGAACCATTCATCTCGATGATGATTTCCGCGTCAGAACTCAGGAAATCCGGGAGGAAAAGTGTGCAGAAAATGGAACCTCTCGCTTATCCAATTTTTGCATCCACAATGAGGGAGAAGAGAATCAACGGATATCCGCAGCATTGAGTCTGGGAAGCCAAGGTTCATTCATGAAAATCACGTTCCATAGAGAGGGTCTTCCACTTATTTGTGTCAGGAGCGGGAGAATGAGGTCCCTCGACCCAATGCTGTTGCTCCGCAACGTCTCTCCAATTGTCCATACCCAGAACAAGAAAGCCCCGTAGCCGCGCACCCACGTTGTAAATTATTTATTGCCCTTAGATTCTCCTGTGAAGGTAATGACTGGGGAATGCCGTTCGGTCTCAATTGGTGTTTTGCTTTTTCTTGCATGGTGGTGATATACTCTATCTCTTCCTGCCTATTCCCGCATGATTATTCTCATTAGTGGCAAACATGGAGAGAAAGAAGGAGATACAACATTTTCCTCCCCTATCCCTCCCAAATGGAGAATGTGTGGGGGTCTGCTGTTATGATTAAAAGGAATCACCCGCATAATCTCGAGGGAACACGCCTCCAGGAATCGATATCCATATACTGTAAGCCTGGCCTATTCCCGCATTTGGTCTTCTATCACCCAGTCTGTGACGTCATTATGACGCACCCAGGAAATTTTTGGTTTCCCCTTTTTCCCGGGAAAAGACTCCATTCCACGTGGGCGAAACCTGCGCAGTCGCAATGCTAAAACTTCAACAGCTGTTCTCCACGACCACTTTCAATCGATACGAGCAAATAAGTATGCTCTATGTCCCACAGGATCTTGCAGAATGTGTTGATATCAGCTGGCGAACCCCATGACCGAAGGATCGTATTAGAAGACGAGATGTGAATGGAATGGGCCTCGTTTCGAGGGGAGATATAATGATGGGAACCGAATCGACGTGCGTTTGCGGTATGCGAGGAGTGAAAGGAAGGGGGAAAATAACGTAGACCGTAGACTTGGACGTGCCCTACTTCCCCTCGCCCTCACGAACTTGGCCTCCTCTCCTAGAGCCCATGCTGGACTTAGACTCGAAGGAATCCCCGACGAAGGAATCATCATAATCTCCTTCTGGCGGCTACATCCATCTAATCTTTTTTTTCACTTCCCTTGGCTTTGGCTGGGCTCCCTGCCTTCCTCTCTCTCTCTCCTTGCAATGATTGAAGTGCTTGCATTTAAAAGCTGATCGCCTCCCGTCTCAATTGCTTCATTATATTACAAACCGGGGATAGTCATGCGCAAGTAGGGCCTAGAACCACGTTATCGCTATTACGTCGGGCTTCTGGAAGAGAGAGAGAGAGAGAAAGGCAGAGAAAGCCATGGAAGGGAGGGAGGGAGGTCTGCAATTTCAAAGCAGGGAACTGTAATACGTAGCTACCTCATCCTTGTCATCGCGAAATCATTCCTCGTAGGGAGTGATTTCGCTCGTCTCATGTATACGGGCAGCAAAAGAAAGTCAGGCGGAAATGTTTCCCTCCTGTACTTAGCATTGAGAAGTCTTCGCCTCTTCGTTCGCCACATCGCCGTCTTTATTCGAGAGTGAGTGGAACGAGGGTGATAACGAAAAAGCTTTGAAGGAGGGAAGACGAAGACCTTGAACCGGCGCGAGTGTCGTAAAACGAAAAGCTCGCTTTTATCCATCCTGACGGTAGAAATTCTGCGGATAAACCATTTCATATAGGGATAAAGATAATCCATTCAGGCGTCGTAAAGCGGGATCAGGCATCATGTAGGTCAAATGAGATCCATTCAGATAAGACCGCACACAAAGTTTTGTGTTAAAAATTAATATATTTCCTAGTCGTTGAAGTAATACCTCTCTGCAGGCAGGGGTAATTTCATTGAGACGGTGCTTCGGAGCAATCCGTGAATGCTATTACGTATATGGGGCATTTTGTCCAAAGAATGGTTTGGTCGTGATAATCCTTTCCAGTCTTTCTCATCTAGCCATCGTCAATTCTGGGCCAGATTTGTTTTCGATGGCCTTTCCGTGCTCGGACTCTGCAGTTCGTTTCTGGCCGTCATCAGTCATTCAACGGCTTTGAATTTCTAAGTCATGATGAATCTCCCTGCACTCATAACCGACTTTCATAGGACCCACTTCGTACCAAATCAAACTATGAATCCAGGAGCAGATTCTTGCTGTGAAAGTGGCCATCTCCCAAGCGTAAGCATTCCAAGAGTCTATTGAAACGTCAACGTGTCGAGGTGGATGTCATGTCAATGAAGGATTTAGGACCGCCAGGGACTGGTGCCTGGCGGTCTGGTACCGGAAGACTGACGAAATGCTGGGTGTGACTGCGCACTTTCACCACTCCTTGGTGCTTGTTCTTTTTAAAACCAGTCTCACATAACCCTGTTGATGAATGGATGATATTGTACTTCGCATTGCAGTTTTCTCATTTTCTTTTAATTTTTCCTTATCAAAGGTTTTTGAAATCGAAGATCAGTTTCGCCGAACCCTCGCAAATCAAGTCAGACTATGGATCCAGGGGAAAATTCTTACTGTGAAAGTGGTCACATTCTTTATGCGTGGGCATCCGAAGAGCCTATTGAAGCGTCAATAATGTTTCTCGGTGGCATGGCAATGAAGGATATAGGACCGCCGGGGTGCTTGAGTACTGGTTCCCGACAGTAGGCTCGACGAAATGGGCGTGACCGCATACTTTCACTACTACTTGGTATCCGAACTTCCAGAAATAAGTCTATCCCATTGTACTGCTGTTATATGGATAATACCGGATCTCTCATCACATTTATCACCATGCTTCCTTTTCTTGTTTTCTTATGAACAGGTTTTTGGGGTTACTGCTTTGTAATATGCGAACATGGTTTATCGAACTCGGATAAAAGCAGACCTCCATCGATCGGTATAGGTTCGTTAGCCAGAGAAGTGAAAAAGGGTTATGACAGGGAACTCCGGTCCCGACACTATTTAGAAGTACACTAAAGGATCAGTGGTATGACCGCAATGAGCTGAAGAACCTCGGAGCTTATTGCAATAGCAGCTCTCCGAGCGTCCCGAGATAGTCATTTGCCCGTTATGGAAGATTTCTCACCCTGGAATTGTCAATATATCGCTTTTTGATCAGGGACCTGTTTCCCTTTTCCAAAAGCCTCTTTTAAGCGTGATTTCCCTCAAGTACACAATTCCATGCGATCCAGGAGCAACCTGCAAGAGGTTGTCATCAGTGTCCAACCTTGGTCGGGGTTGGGTGAAAACATGAATGCAATCGACCGTGTCTAGATGTTATCGGTGAAAGACTGACTAAGAAACGTTGCAAGAACAACGAAGAGCTACTTGATGGTATTAGCGATATTTGAAATATTTCAATAGACTGCTAACAGTCTTTGATTGAGGTATGCTGAGATTTGTGAATTCCCTATAGCAGGCAAAAGAGGGTCACCATCCATTTTTTTTTAGGCTGTTATCCTTCATGTTACTGTCATGATGATATTGTAGAAACTTATTAAATTGAGTTGTCTATATTATTTTACGATATTAGCGAGGTTTAATCGTTATTCATGCATTTGAATACGAATTATCAGCTCGAATGCGAGGTTTTGCAGGCAGAAACTTTTTTTTTTTTTGGCCAGTAGTGTATTGGTACGAGTTCATGCACAATGTCCTTACTTCCATTTCTCAGTCAATAGTTAATAATATTGACCAGGATAAGGATGAAGTTGTTGCCGGACTGATGAGTTTGGCAGGCATTTGCTGCCCAGGTTAATGTCTTTTTCCCTTCTTGAAAACTTACCATGCTCTGTGTTTGACTTCTGGTAATGCCAGCCAACGTGTGCCCAACCTAGGTGCAATATTTAATCCCCTCATCCCTGGTGTACTTTGTTGTGTATGGATCTCAGAATTCCAAAACTCTTTCTATGTGCTTACTATATACTAGAAGACGCATCGAATACAGATATGATATTATAGTCCTTATTCTGAATCCTTGTGCACGCGGCAGACTCTCAAAGAGTCAAAGGGTAATGAGGTCCATAAGATGAGAGTCACTGCCGATCATGGCAAATGAGAGCAATAATGTTGACGAAGGGGAAGTTTTGTTTACAAATACCCGAGTTTTATGGCCTGTCCTCACATCCCTCTCCTTAAAATTTCATTTTCGGAGCATTTCTATCAACTCAGTTGACAAGTGCTAACCCCTTTTATGTGGTCCTCCGGCCAGCAGGCAATGCCACTGCACAAGGATTCAGGATACAGACTATACATAGGTGGTCGGGGAGATGAGATAGATATGGAGCATGTTATCTGAGATTCCAATCGTCATACCATCCATGACCTGATCAATGTCTTCCTGTACAAGCCTTTTATGCACTGCCTGGTTCCTGCTTATTGCACCATGACCGTTTCAGTTCAGAAGTTCACGAATTCGCTTCTCGATTTTCACTTCCTCATTCTTTTCTTGATCTCGTATGAGGAGTGGTTTTTCTCCCAGTCTTAAGAGTTCTAATGGTTTACCATTGCAGTCACCAATCATTTCACGCACAATTATAATATGGAGAACGAAGTCATCAACAATATTGCCCAAAGACGCCATTGCTTTGAGACAAGGTGTTCTAATTGTTGGCCTGTTAGAGAAAAAGAAAATCAACGAAAATCATTGCATGATTTCTTGCCGCGTTTTTTTTTCTTTCCAGCAGCTAATTGGATTTATTTGTTGTGGTGTACTCAACATCCATTACAGAAAACTGATTTGTGAAACCAGTATATTTTTTGGAAGTTCAATGAGTATTTTGTTGGCCTCACTTCAATCTTTGTCCTTAGAGTTTGGGAGTGGAACTCGGAGGAGGAGGAGGGAATGGGGGTATCGAGGTGGACTGGTGCACCCTGGGTGATCCAGCTACCCCAGAGGTGGTGCTCAACGATCGGATGATGACGGAGGCAGCACCTCCAATTAAACAGGAGCATTCCTATAGTCTTGGAGTAGGGACTCATCATCACCATCATCATACACCCGAGATTTTCATCTCTGGCACGGAAGATCGTCGTTTTCCTTCCATCGATGTTGAGTCCATGGGTAAGTATGTCTCTTTTTCCCGGAATTGCGAAACTTCCTCTCATTCAGAAGGCCAAGAATCAGAGGGAAAAAAGGACAGAAATGCCTGGAGGACATTTCACCATCGACGGGCTGGGAGAGAGAGGGTTTAAGAAAAAAAAAAGGTTGACCACTAACCATGGGTTCACTTTCCGTTCTCGTGATTGATGAGGGTTGGGGAAGAAAAAAAAACCCTCGGGTCACTATTCCCTTCCAAGATCTGTCTGCCAAGGCAAAGGTCATCATCTCACGTCATCGTATCGCATGCAAATGCAATACTTTGCGTTCTCCTTCCTTCTCTTTCGCTTCGTTCCGGAACACCCTTGTTGCGTCAGCCAGCCATCAAAATTTAGAATCCCTTTTCTGAGGTGAAAATGTGGAGTATAGTCTCAATTTTGTGATCCATTTCTCTTGACCTTCGATCGATGTTGCAGAAGGAAAGAAACACAAGGAAAGTCCAGGGCGTTGAAACGTAACCTTCTCGCTTGAGGTGATATCCCATCTTGTCCAAACCGCAGGTATGTTGCGTGCGAAGCAATCGACTTGGCATCGCAAACATGGAAACAAGGAGAGTTCCGCACTCACAGTCTAGTTGCAAGTTTTCACTAGGGTGATCAATAGCCATTACCGGTTCCATTCACAAGCATGCTTGGAGGGATAGAATTGTTCCTATACAAGAGTTTCCTCTTTTTTAAATTTATTTCTAGCATTGTGTTGAAGGATGAATGAGTCATCCGTCCATGCAAAGGGATGAACATAATTAAAGCGTGATTTTTAGTCTATAGTATGAGAAAGAGAGGGGAGAAGGAAGAAGCGAAACGGAAAAGATCCCAGGTAAGGTCATTCACGTTTCCGCCTGCTTTTTCGTATCCCTCAAGGGATACTCAGAGGATTTCTCCTGTCTACTTCCCTTGCGTGCTTCTGCATCATCTGCTTGGCCACAGTGTGGAAAAAGGAAAATAGGGAAAATACTGTAGTTTTCTTTTTTTCCAGAGGCTGTTGAATCAAGTCACTGGTTCACAGCCAGTATTTATTTTGCGTAATGAAGTAAAAGTACTCACTAACTTCATCCTTAGCAAAAACCATCATGAATTTTGTGAGGTATCCGATCTCAAATGCATGTCAGCCATGCTTATTGGTGTCTATTGCTATCACGTTAATCAGTATCGATACCATCCAATGAAAACGATTGAAAACTTACAATAGGCTTTCGTATACATCATGCTTTTGATTGTACGCTAGCCGTATTCATTTCGCAACATGTCTTCGTTTCTTCGTTAGTAGGAGTATTGGGATGGTCTAATCAATGAGGAATGTCTGTCTACTTAATGGCGTAGGAGGTAAATGTAAATGATGAAAACCTTGACTGGAAAAATGTATAATTCCTGGTCTCCTTGCTCATTATTGTGTCCTCGGTCCTATTCCTCGTTTCCATCTTGCTCTCTATGTTCTCGTTCCTCGTTTCCATCTCCTTATCCCAGGTCGCGTTTTCTCATTCTGTCACTTCGAAATTGGCTTACTCGCATCCGGAAGGTGGGGGAAAAAAGATGCGTTTGAAAAATCAATCTGGTTCGTGTCTGCTTGAAGAGAAGCAAAAAAAAAAAAGCTGGAGTGGCGTGCCCTTCTGGTCTCCACGAGCATTCATGGAGGTCTGGGATAGGGGAAGGGAAAAAAAATACAGTCTGTGACGACTGCGGATGGAGAAACCAGACTCGAACGGTCTCATATTGCTTCGACATTTATACATGTTTCCTCGCTCTCTCGTCTCCCATTTGCGAGACATGGGATTCTCATGCACTTCTGAAACTACAGTTGTGATGAGTAGCCAACTGACTACGCCGTGTCATAGAGAAGAAAAGGGAATGGCGTGCGTGAGCCTAGAGGGAACCTTGCGGTTTTCTCAGGTTTTCCCCCCGTAACATTAAAAGGGCTGTGATTCCCCAAGTCGCATCACTGGTCTTCCGAAAGGAGAAAGAGAAAATTCCTGTCGTTTGCAGCAGGAGCCGGAGAGTATGTTGTGCGTGTATTTGTATGGGAAAAATGTGGGTGGCCATCTGCCATCCTTCCATGCCATGCCAGCAGGAAAAAGGAAACGAAGACGTAAGAGAAGAGAGGGAATAAGAAAAAAGGTATCCCATCTGCAGAAGCTAGGACAAGTTCATCGACATCTTTTCTTCATGGATGGCTAACTCTCACTTCCAAGTTCTTCTTCCTATATATCCTCTCTCCCCTTGTTCCAGTAGAAATCTTGCTTTGAGAAATGAGTTATTTTGCATTTTTTCATGATCCTGGGCGGCCATCTCTAATCCTAATTCCATTTCTCTGAGTGAACCTGCCCCGCGACGGGTTTCACAAGCTAGATATCTGGTTCTACTTCCTCCTCCAGGTCATTGGATGGCTCTGAGTTAAAACTACTCCTAAAGAAATAGAGGATTGATAGTTGGGGTAGGCCAGCTCTCAAGCCTCCGATTTCATTTCTTTGAATTTATTTTAGAACGTCTACTTCGACTGCTTTGACAAGTCATATGTAAGGTATTGTTTGTCTCTCTTGTCGATGCTGGTGATTTTGGTAGGTTGGTGATTCTAGCTACCAGGAAGAGAGCAGCAAAATTTTTTTTTCTCAAGAAAGAGACATTAACATGAGAAGTGAGCCAGAAAATAAGGGGCTGGCTGTTAGCGCGTGGGTCTATGGACTGTTTTGCATATGCCAACCCTTCTGTGAGGAATTGCTGCCCAGTGCACAGAGAAAGAAGACAAAAGCCTTCAGAAAGAATTCAGAAAGTCTCACCTTCCCATATTGCAAATCCTTCTCTTTTTTCCACATATCTTTTCTGTATTTTTTATATTTTTTATTTTTCAGGAAGTGGGTAATTTTCCATGTCCCATCAGTTCCTTCTTGATAGCTTCATTTCCGAGAATATGATATAATATACGTATATGTTCTTAATTATTAGTCTCGTTTTGCCATTCAGGCTATGGGGGGATTACCTTCAGGGTAGATGACGTTCTCATTGTGTCACTCTAATCGACGGCACGAGAGGAGACAGGAAGGAGGCAACAGGTGCATGATAGCATGCAGCGAAGCATGATAATTATTGGTTCGTTCATGCCATTGACAAGTAACTTTTATCCAAGAAACACATTGATGTCATCTGCTTTAAGCAACTCGCAGAAAGAGGGAAGAATGTCGCAAAAGGCGGGGGCAATGAACAATTCAACGCCAGTCTTGAATCCTTACACTCGATCTTTCCTAGATCGCTTCCTCTCGCAGTTCTCAGAGCTTATAGAAATGCGACAGTACCTTGGGCGAATAATTTCTGCAAGCATTAGCCAGTGTTCTTCCTGGAAGAATTTATTCTAAGAACTTATATCCGGTTTAAGATAGTGGAATCGTAATTTTTTCCTTCCCGCATTGGCTTCCGTCACGTCAACTGTCATTTCGTTTCTGCACGAGGACTTGATCAGGCAATTCAAAATGTATGGTCATGGGACAAGCGTAAGAAGCCCATGGTATTTGTTCATAGGCCTTTCTCATCAACTATGCCGGGAATGGTAAAAGTCCTTGGATGATGGAGTCGTTTCCTCTGACGATCGTGATCCAAGGAGATGTGAAACGGGAATTGGAGGATGTGGACACGACCTATCACCTTTTACTTCGTATATAGGTCACTAGGACTTGAGAAAGAATCAAGGACGGAGGAGGAAACCTTACAGTACACCAGAGACTGAACTATCGATTCCCCAATATTCAGTCATCTTCCCAGCCAGCCCATGTTTGTTGAACATTTTCGATGACAGCCTGGAGACGAGGGCACGCCATTCATGAGAAAGAGTCAATGCCCTTTATCTCATACATTTATTCAACGGGACGCGAAGGTCATCTCGTCTGAAGTCTTGCTCGCTCGCTCTCACCTCTTCCCTTTCCGTACTCCATTCTGTTCTCTTTTTCACGTGGGCGATCCCTGACGGAACGAGTTGAGTCGAATACCCACAATAGTAGCACCACGTTCTTGCCAATCGGTGTTGCGGAGTAATAATACAAGCAATTCATTTCTTTAATAAATTACTTTGTGGTGTAGTATTCATTTAAACCAATATTCATTTACAAAATAATTCCCCTCTGAAAATATTTCAATAGGAATTATTCTATTACGTTTGAGAAATTATTAATAAGTTAGGATACTACTCTGATTCCCTTATAGAAATGCAATAAGCTGAGATGATGTGGGAATCTCCAGGTCAGATTCAGAGATGATTTGTGAAATGATTAAATGTGACGGCTTTCATTGAGAGAGAAAAGTCGACATTGATATCATCAACTGATGATGCTGTTTCGAAATGTTACTCATAGTGAAAAACGAAGCGTAATTTTAAACATAATATATTTTACTCTTTTTTTTTCGGAAATAATATAATTATATGAATTTTTTTTCATAGCAGCACATAAGGCCGAGCGTTGAATTACTTTTTTGTGGAAATAGTTGGCTTAGCACTTTAGCGGTGACTGAAATTGAGCTGCGCTAAATTTTCTAATAAAGTAACCGTCCTTAATCCTGTGTCCAATATTAATCTCTATGAAATTCCGCTTCCCTTAGTCTCTTATCTTTGAGATAGACGGAAGTTGTTCTCCGCTATGAGACCTCGAGAGCCATTTATTGCGGTATGATCCTGGGATTCATGGCCACGATAAGGGAGTGGCGGTGCCAACTGTGTCGTGTCCATGCAACGCTCAACTGAACTTATTGCTCCCCCGGCTATGAGGATATACAAGTATATTACAGAAGAAAGTGGACAAGAAGTAGCACAAATCAAGCCCTAGACTGGATCCAGGGTTTCTATCCCCGCGTTTAAACGACATCCTGCAGGCATACATACATGGCATTTGGCACTTCTCCAATATCTGCTCATTCTCTGCACACCTTTCACCAATTTTTTTTTTCCTTCCTCCGTGTCATTCCGCTGTAATTTGGTCGCACAGACTCGCATCAAGGTTCTGACCTAGGTTGCTGCGTGCTGTTCTCTAAGCTGATCATCATGCTGAGGATATTCCTTTTTCCCTGACACCTTCCATGCTGTTTTTATTTGATAGATATGGAAAGCGAATGTTTTCCGACGATCCCGATGACGTCGATGAAGGTAAAAGAGGAAGTGGGGACTGGAGAAGGGGATGGGGAAGGGGAATCGGAATCCTTTAACTCCCCGTCTCCCTCACCAACTTGTACGCCCACTCAGGCTAGTCCCTTCTATCACTCTCCACCCTCGCCCAAAAAGGTCAGTTCTCCGAGCGCAGAATCTTTGGGAACGGAGGGGGAAAAAGACAAGAAAATGGACCTTCTTTGGTTAATACAGTTCCAGGGTACGAGTGTGCTGAAGAATCATCATCAGCAACCACAACAGCCGCCGACGATTGTCCTCACGACTAGTCGGGGCCGAATGAGTCTCGGACACTCCAGTCTCATCCTCCCACAGCTCAACATCAAAGTGGAAAATCCCGGTGAGAACCGCATGTTAAGGTTGTGATTTAATTTTTTTTTCATTTTTGACCTATAAACGTAGATTACGTGGGGAAAAAAAGGTCGATGTAGGGAAAAGGAACGAAAATGGTAGGTTTTAGGGCTTAGCTGGATAAAAAAAAAGTTAAATAATATATCACTTTGTCTTCTCAAAGACACCATCATCCATCTTACATGGAAGTTAGTCCCCTGCTTGGACAAGGGATTGAAAGACTTCACTTACTTTGTTGCATTGGTATATCGAAAAATCCCTATCTTAGTTATAATGAATACCTGGAAATGTTCAATCTGGATTAACATGGACCCTCGACGAAGTAGCAGATGATGATGCCTCGAGGGGGAAAGCGGAACCAGAATGGGACGGAAGTGATTCTCTTTTTAAAAATATCTGCCCCTATTAACTGCTCTAGGACTGGAATGGGACCTAATTGGTTCCATTTATCCCCCATTATCTTTCTCAGCGACTTTTCTCATCCCCCGCCTCTCTCTCTCTCTCTCTCTCTCTCTCGTATGATTTTCGTCGAAATCGAAGGGTGTACCTGTGGAGCAGTCAGTGTTCAGTATGCAGTGTTTGGCGAAATAATGATTTAAATACTCTAGATAAGGCCGTTTTGAACAGAATTTAAAATGCATCTAGATACAGATACGGAAAAATAGTCTGGCCCATTTACTCGGATACTTTTAATTCTGACTTAACGCGATTACCAATGGGTTCATGCTGCGAATTGCAGTGCATGCAATGAAAATTAACAGATACATGAAAACGGTATCGAAGTATATAACATTTCACATGCCGAAGGCATTTTAAAAATGTGTCTAGATATGTGACAAGATACAATGCCAATGTCATATCTAGGTCAGAGGTTCCCAATCTTTTTTTTATTTGCGGCACACATAAGGACACTTGAACTTTCCACGGCACCCCCAGCCATTTACTTACTTTCAATGGGAAACTTGAGCTTGCTTCGCTGAACACAGCAGTTTGATACGAGGCGTGGTAGTGCAAGCCTCAGCTCGTTTTTCACGGAGAGATGGCGTTCTCTCTTGTTTTCAAGTAATTTTAGTTTTAGTTTTTTGTCAACTCTCAAATCTCAGGGCACACCTAAGCCTTACTGGCGGCACACCGTTTGGGAAACACTGATCTAGATGAAGAAAAAGGCTACAGGTTTTACTATCACCACGGTATTTAACAAAATAATTGTGCCAAATCGTTTTTTTTTTAATATTGACAGTAAATTGTATTTCGTCGGCCCAATTTTTTTTACATTCCTGCATTTGAATAGATATGAGAAGGCTTGTATCGAGTTTGCAGGAAATTGACCGATTGTGTCACGTGCTACACTGGTTAATACTTGAAGGGTAAAAAATGCCCTAGACACCCCTTTTGATGCGTCCACCTCAGTCGTTGCAGTAAGCTCTTGAAGAGGTGGGAGGACTTGTTTTAAGCCAAGAGGATATCCACAGAGCCACCGAACGCAATGGGAGATATCTGGAGCTATTGGTATATCCATTTCAACACTCCACCGAATTCGGTGGAGTGTTAATGCATTTATATAGCGTACCGTTAACCAAAGGAGGTTTCACCATTCGTACCTAAGTATTTTCCCCTTAGTTTTTGATGCACAATCTCTCAAGATTCTTGCTCCAATTTTACTAAGACTTGTAGTTCCAATAAATATATTAGACACGGACCGACCTTGAGCAAAGGCTATAAAACTGTTATAAACGATTGGGTTATGGATTCGTCTGGATGCTGTGGTAAAATGGGATGCCTGGTTGGATAGTAAGCGTTGATCTGGCGCTGACGTTGCTGAAAACTGCTAAATATCCGAAACGCTGACAAAGACTGGAGCAACAAGTGGATCGATTTTGACATTAACTGATTGGTTTTTGAACCCAAGAGGTCTAGGAGCTGTACCACGTTCATCATATACGATACTACTAAATACCTCATTTTGCGAAAGTTTATGCCTACCATTTTTACCAACCAATTTGAAATGTGAAAAATATGCTCACTTGTAATGTTTGCGATAAGAGTTTTTGGGTGATAAAGAGTCTTAGGTATTAATAGAGAAAGTAATGGAACTTACCATTGAAAATTGTGTCCCGTAATGCTAAGACAACTGAAACGAGTTTGAGAAGCAAGGTGGCTTCGTATCGACTTCGTATCGCCTAAAGACAGTATGCCTTCTCATATCCTGAGCTGCTAATACTGGTATTACGTACCTAAATACTACCTATAGGTGCTGAACAAATAATTAACAAGGAAAGTATGCGTGGACACGTCCGTGAAGCACTCACGAATTTTCCTTCTGTTATGGCGACTCTGTTCGGCTGGTTTACTATTTGGAGAAAAAAAAAAAACAAATAAACCAAATCTTCTGTTTTAGAGATGTTCTTGGAAAACACCGTCATGTCATGAACATGATCCCTCAATTTTAGGTGTCAATGCTATAGCGACATTTTCTACTTTTTCTTGCGTCTGTGTGAGAAGAGGGTGGGGAAGAGTTGCGTTGGGAGAAAATGAACCCCCGAGTAAGAATCAATTCTCAGGAATGTCGCTAAGTGCCTTGGAATGCTTCCATGATTAGAAACTCTTCCCAATCGAAAAAAGTGAGTGATATCTAGCCACAAATTATTTATGTTTCACAGGCGATTCTTACGCTTATTTCCCTGCTTTAGGGGCATATAATCCTTACAATTCTTAGTCCGTTTCGTACCGAAGAGGTTTGGCTTTTATAATGCAAAGGACTAGCCCTCACCTAGGGGCTGATAGATGCCGCCCATGATATCGTATCATCGTGATATGATTTAGATAATAGAAGAACATAGGTTATCTGAGAATAATGATGCTTCGTGCATCGTTTCAGATTGCTTTTTAAAGAACCGGAACCGTTTGTTGGGAATGATAGATAGGGAGATGAGCAGGATTGTGGTTGTGATTGTGATAGTGATAGTGATGCATGGTTGGTTGGTTGTAGGTTACAGTATGCCCCCGACCCCCCCGTCGTCGCATACGAGCGACTCGGAAGGGAGTTTGAGTCCAATCCATCCACCTCCACCTTCCCCATCACCATCCCCCTCCTCGTCTTCCACGTCCACCTCTTCCTCTCATCCCCATTCCCATTCTTCCCTCCGGTCGTCCTGTTCCTCGTCGTCGACCACACGACAGCCCATCCAGACGTCCCTCATCAGCCACCAACCGGTAAGAGCTATTCTTTTTGTTCTTGTCTTTTCTTTCTCTTCGTTTCGTTTTCGTTTCCCCCATCTCAGCCTCAGATGAAACAGCATGTTTTCACTGGATGGTGGAGTAGAAAATCTGCTGAATAAAGCCGGCTGAATAAGGGAGGACATACCGGGGGAATGACGTCTAAGAATGGAACAAAAAAAGTTCTACTCTCCGACCTGCATACCAAAATGGTTGTCACTCCCCAAACGCTTAGGAGTCTCAGCTGAGATTTCAAAGACCCCTACTTAAAGCGCGTTCAAAGTTTAGATTCAAGTGCCCAGCATACAATCTCCACGTAGTCTTGTGTTTGCTGAGTCTTATCCTGGGATTATTTGTTGTTAAACCCTACATCGGGTCCATGAATAGAATAGATTCTGCGCTGTCTCATTTTTGAACTGGCAAGAATGTGAAAACGTTACCCTTCCACAGATATAATGAAGGCAACATACTGTGCTTATTTATGAGCCAGGGTGTTTATAGGCGATTTTAAAATATGAGTAATTGGTATTCGATATTTCTAAGGTCACATTCCTGTTTTTAAAGTTTTTTTTAAAGGGAGATTCATTCATCAAATTAAGACGATAAAATCTCAACGATGTCTTCTTTTCGATTGGACGTTGAGAATTGAAAATATGGAATATTGTATGAAGCAATATGTATGAAGTAGTATGAAGTAGTATGAAGTAGTATGAAGTAGTATAAAGCAATCGAATATTATTTATCTTGCATAATTGCGGCTGGGAAACTTTCTCACCAGAAGAATTCTTATTTCTGGAAAAACAGAAAGGGGGTTCCGGAGTCTTGATGTTGACGGAGGAAGAGAAGCGCACCTTGTTGGCCGAGGGGTACCCAATTCCCACTCGGTTACCCCTGTCCAAGGCCGAGGAGAAGAGCCTGAAGAAAATCCGACGCAAGATCAAAAACAAGGTACTTTCATACCAACTTTCTCGTCGGACATAGAGACTATGTGAATGGACCTACTGGTTCACTTCCGCGAACAGTGCGCACAAAAGCCAAGTTTTCTTCGGGACAAGAAAACTTTTCCTGGATTTTATACTTGCGTTTATTGTCTCTGTTTCTCTCACTTCTTCCTTACTTTCTCCATAAAAAAGAGGACTGTGTTGATCTCCGCATAGATCTCAGCACAGGAGAGTCGTCGGAAGAAGAAAGAATACATGGATGCACTGGAGAAACGAGTGGAAAGCCTGGCATCAGAGAATTTGGATTATCGTCACCGGATGGAATCTCTGGCCAGTGCGAATGCCTCTCTCACGGAACAGCTTGAGGGCCTGCAGCAACTCCTGCAAGATCTTCAAGACAAAGACAAGATTACCAAGTCCACAGCCACCCAAACCTCCTTGTCATCTTCCTCTACCTCCTGTTCCCTCTCTTCCATCTCGATATCGTCTCCTTCCGCATCTTCCTCCGCCTCCATGCTCTCGGTGAGGATTAATTGTTTTTGCGTATTGGGAAAAAATTTCTGACCGATGGATGATGGATGAAAGGTACGAGTGTTGAATGCATATATCAGCAGGGAGTGAGGTTGAATCCACCTTTGACGCGGAGGGCCTCGGCCATGAAGGTCTCCACATGATTCCTTCTGTCTCCTCATCAGTGGTACGACATGTTGAGCAAACTTTATTTTCATGTCATGAAATAGAAATGAGTTGTGATTTCAATGGGTGGGTTCACCCTCTTCTTTCCCTTCTCCATTCCCAGCAGATGACTAAGGACACAGATTAGGAGAGAGCCTGTGGATATGTGTGCGTGTGGACTCATTGATGTGTGGAGTTGAGTGCTGAATTTGAGATGAGCACCGTTATTCGTCGTGTTTGCTTGTGGTTTATCATCTGTCTCGCCTCGGGATTTAGTCGTGCTAGTCTTCCTCATCAGGACCTCTTTCCCTCCATCTTTCTTCATCATCTTCTCACTCCTCACCTGTGAGACCGTCGACCATTGTCTGGTTGGTTCATGAACGACTTATATTGATGCTTTTTTGCTTTCCTCCATTATCAGATAAGTGAGTTTTTTTTCGAGAGGAGAGTACCTGGATGGACCAAAAGCAGCAGAAGTTCGGTTGTGATTCGTTCATCCCCTCAGGATTCCATTGTGTAGATTAAGAGAGGCAAATATATGGGGAGAAAGAAGTCAGTGAGAGTGTGTGTTCGTCGGAGACAAGTGGAGACAAGATTTTTTCTCCACGCTTTTCCTGCCAAAGACAAGCTCATTCCTTCCTTTTCTGTCAATCTCTTGCTTCCATTCCATTGCATTCCTTGGGTGACACGCTCGATTCTGACTGACATTCCGTTCACTGTTTCGGGAACCGCGATCGTCAGATTTGTGCCAATTTTCTGTTTGCTCCAGACCTTTTGCCTTCTTGTCCATGAACAATTGAGGGAATTACGGGATGGGATTGCACAAAAATCGGTTGCCTTCTCCTTGCACGACCGCCTTTGCCATGGAGATATAAATTAAGAAATTATGGATATTATGACTAATAATATCAGAAATTATGATATTATTGTTGAAAATTATCAAGATATATTTATAACTCTGATCTCTATTTTTGTGGTGTATATATTACATGTTTGTGTCTCTGGTACCCAAGGGATGAAGGCACTGCGGCTCAGAGAGGACAGGCTATTATGAAGTGTTTGATCGTGTGTTTAGTATTTCTTCCTTCCTTTCAACTCTTGTTTTGTTTTTGCGGTTGCAGTGATTTGAAATATGGAGTACAAATCCTCTCCCATTCTTTGTTGAACTCTCAGTGGAGGGCCGTCCCTTCCCTTTCGCCTTCCCAGTCTCAAATTTGAGCAGATTTGATGGAATCTTAGGAATAGAGCTTTGTTAAGATGCCCATGAAAGAGCACGCAAGCGTCCCAGATAGATTTCACCTAGTTCTGTTGTGACGTACCCCCTTCGATCGTGTGTCCTTGGATGTGCCTGGAACACTTGTTGCTCTGCCTCTGCTCGTCTCCTTTCTGCCTTGTCCAGGTCCTGTGCTTTTTTGCTTGCTTGCAGTTCTGCTTTCCCCAGTTACCTGTAAAAAATTATACCAGAGGTTTGTGGTTGAAGATCGTCGATGAAATAAAGACTTTTCCGAGTGTTGTGGACGTAAGCCTATCATTCGTGCACGATCAGACGGACATGATAAGTGACCGGATGGTTTCAAACTGATCATGCCAAGAAGATTGGAATCGTTCAATATGGGACCTAAACGCAAGTCGAGTCGGGAGGTTCAAGTTTTTACGGACATATGGTGTCAATAGCCACTAGAAACTGACCTCAGAGTGGAAGGGAGAGGGAAGGTTTCAGAAATTCCCTCATAGAAGCTAGAAAAATGAAATCCATTGTCAGGTGAAGAACATTCTAACGTTAAGAAATACCCTTGGATCCAGAGGTGCATGTGAACACATATTTTTCGATGACTCCAAGTCATTTCTTTTGCAAGCCTAATGTAGACGGCCTCATCGAAGAACCGCACAGCTGCAAGGCTTACTGACGGACCTTGTTGGAAATCCCCACTTCTTTCTCATGCTGCCGGTTTCCCACTGGCTGCTATCTTACTGGTTTGGCTGCTATTTTTTTATATCTCTTCTGAGCTGTCTATGTAAAAAGCGCTTACCTGCCAGTTTTTTGTGCGTTTAACGTGATATTAAAAAAAAAGGAGAGGCATCATAAGTAGATCATTCTAGCCGTCGGGCAAGAGCGAGCATAGCTATCCCATGGAAGGAATGAAGTGTTTCTTTAACTCTATATCCGGTAGGATATAGGTCATCGATAAGATAATGGAAAATGCGTTCTCCATGCACTGTCCATTCACGCTTTGAGACCGGACCTAGGTGTAATTTGGTTGAAAAAGCCGGATTGAACTTCTTGTGATATTCAACTATATTATGTATATAGCAGATTTGGATAAATGCTTTATAGCATTTGTCTCACTTACCCTACTCCTACGCTGCTACGCTTCAAGGAAATGGAAGAGCACGTCTTAAAACTTCATGCTTTGCACGACTTTGACCTGTATGAACCCTATGTTGAAGCTATTAATTGCAGTATTTAAACCATGATCGGAACAACTCCTAATTTGAAAAGCTTTGCGAAGAAATCTTTTGCCAAGTTGTTTGCAGCAGACGAAAATTATTCTGAATAGAAATTGAATGAAAGTAGGAAGTAATTATTTTTGTTATTTAGCATGGAATTTAAACATTAAATTAAAACGTAGGTGCCCGGAACTGATGTGTACACAGTCTGATGATGTCGACAAGGAGTAAAACGAGGAGTCGGTTGGCTTCTCGCTTGCATTCCGTCATTCTCCTGACCGAGGAGAAGAGATGGAGTAGGTGGACGGAGAGTTGAATGATCTCTCGGTTTTGTTTTCTCTCCCCTTCCCAACCGGTTCCACCAGAATTCTTGCGAGTGAGAGGGGGGGGAGGGCTCCAACGGCATGCGAGACAAGTGCCACCAAATGGTTCAGGCGACATCTCGCTTTCCATAGATAAAACGAGTACTCTTGGTTCCATTCGCTAGGTGGCAGAGCATGCTGCGGTTCTTGCATCGGTCCCTTATCCCATTGGCGACCCAGAAGATAGAAAAACCTTGCCCTTTTTCATTAGGAAATTACTTTCTATTCCGGGATGAGGAGATTACTGCAGGTAGACTTCGCCTGGGGCATTGAAATGCCCCGAACGAAAGCTCGAGAGCTTGAAAGCTAGAATTAATCCAATATTGCATCATGTGAATTCAAAGCAAAATGCCAAAATAGCCTCTACTGACCATGCAACGCAAGGTATTGCTTCGAGGCAGCAAGCATGAGCTTCTATCATTCAGAGCCTGAAAATCACGAATCATGAGAAAGTATTCAGGAAGCTTAATCTCCCCCCCCCCTCCCCCAATAAAAAGATTTTAATTGCTATTGACTAATTCTTGCAATATATACGGTCAACTTAGGATCTTCAGACAACTGGTCCAGAGTTTCTAAGGCCAGAATGACTGGTGTCGTATGTTTTCCCCCTCCCATAATGGAAATGAAAGGAGTTCGTTTTAAAAAGTAGAATTGGCAGTTCGTTGATTGCCAAAAGAGAATATAATCTTCATTGTCAGAAACTGATCAAACGAAATCATAGCAGTACATCCTCCCGCAAAGGATGATGTTTCTCCCTCCCTGCCTTCATGTCAGCTGCCTTCATTTGCCTTTTACCTCCGGGGGCTTGAATCTTTGATGTGGCTTTCAAGATCGCCCTGAGGAATCAACACTGGGTTAGCCTTTAGCGAAGCAGATGGAGGCGTGAAAGGAACACTAAAAGGCACGGAAGAAATAGCCGCCGAGGAACGAGGCGAAGTTCCTTCATTTCCATTAATGGGGGGAGGGGGGAAATATCATACGACACCGGCAGAAGGATAGTCGGCAGACGTAGAAGGAAAAGCAACCAGAACTAAATATTTACCATTTCCAGTATCATGTGAATGGAAACTGCTCAATAACCGTCTGCTAACTAATCCTGTCTTTCTATATTTCGGATAACGAATGATTATGGCGCAGTGTCTTTCCAACCTTCGAAAATGGCAGTACCGTTTGATTAAGAACAGATCCACAATGTTATTAATGCATTGTATGATGATCACTTTCACGAACCCTGAATGAATATCATGACCATTTCTGGTCACTGAACTGGCTGATTTTCATAACAGAGTGGACCTGTCGAATGTAACTGCCATATCTACAGGTCTAAAGACAGTAGAACTACTCTATCCGAAACGGCGAAAGACAGAATTAGTTAGTGCAAGTAAATAGAGCAGTTTTCGTTCACACGATGTTATAAAAAGTAAAATTGTTTTGTCCCTCTGACAAGCAGGGAAGTTAAATAAGGAGGAGTAGAGGGGAAGGGGGATGAGAGAGTATAGGGAAGGAATTGGGAGGGGGAATAGGGGTGGGGGTGGATCTCAGAATTTATTGACCAGTACCCGTATGTTGCGTAGCTCTGCTGCGAAAGGTTCGGTATCCCACCTGCTGTGCTTTGTGTCCATTGCCCTCCGCCTGGCTTCAACCGCGACCCATTAGGCAAGGAGGGGTGATCAGGGCAATCGATCGAGTCAGGGATTCATACTGTACTTCTCGATGAAGAAGTTTCCCAGTCGAAAGTCTGCATTATGGAAAGGTCATCATCCTACGCTTTGAAACCCACGGAGCTTTCAGCCGTACCATATTGACGTCCTAATGGAAATTTGAGAGATTTCGATGAAGTAGTAGGTCTACATCGGAAACTGGGAAGCGTAATGCGTGCATATTCGCTAGAAGAAGATCGTTAAAAAAAAAAAAGATGCAAGGTCGGTCCTGTCTTATGAGTGAACTCATCAAAAACACCAGCTTGTTTTTCTACTCTCTTTTAAACATGGAAGAGCGATGAAACATGATTTAAACCCAGGATGGAACGGAAGATTTATTAAACGGAGAGATGAGGAGGGTTGAGGAGAATGCAGAAGAGGCAACAGCTGGCTTTTGGCCCCTCATTTTCTCAAGTTCCGTTACCGCTGCTTTGCGTCACAGAAGGACGATATTCGACGAGAAAAGTGGGGGAAATATGTCTCCATTGGAGTTCATGGTCAGTCGAGAAGAAAGATTCCAGAAGATGGGCACCATGGAATAACTGTACTCGACACCGGTGGGAAACCAGATTTCCCCTCCAGTGCAAATTATGGAAACTTTTTTTCGCTGAGTCAATGGGATCTCGGACGGAGGCGATGATCATCTCCAGCTCAAGTATGCTTCTATGGACCCCCTTAGGTTAACTCAGAATTAAGAATAATTTCTTCCAGATGACGTTTCCATCTTCTCGTTCCCTCATCTTTCTATCATCTGGAAGAAATCCTACAGCAGTTATAGTATTCGAAGACGTTTGTAAGCACGACACGTTTCCCAAATATAGATATGGCAGGTTCGGCTTGGAAGCGCTAACGACTGTTTACCTTCCGGCTTTCCCATGGTGCACGCGTAGGCTGGCGAACTCTTGGACTTCGATTAACGTTAATCTGACTATCGTGCCACTTTTGCGACGACAGAAGCGAATAACGTCGATGTCGTGTCGGTTTTGGCTACTTCTCCGAAGCTCCGAAGCACACGGGAGCGAAACAGCAGAATATTCGCACGACTCACTTTCGAGGATCTCGAGCGTTGTCTATGATCGAGTCATGTTTTTCTTGCCTCGCGTGAAAGGCTCCTTTCGATCGGACGTGTCGCGTTCATCCGTGAACAACTGGGATAGATTCCTCACCATCGTGTACGAGAGCGTTGGAGAAGGATTTATTGCTCGACGCGCCTCTTCACCGTAATTGTAACGCATTTTGTAAGACCCTCGAGAAAAGACTTCCACAGCTGCTGGTGGAATTTTTTGAATCACCGTCCCGCTAAAATCTGAAAGCCACACACCGTGAAATCACGGGTTCTCTCGCCTTGGGATATCAAACCGTTCGATCACAAAGACTTGGCAAAACCAGCACTGGTTCGTGGATGAAAAATATGGGAAAGCCAGCTCACGAATTTCACAACGAACACGAATTCGTTCTACTTCATTATTAATTTGAGCGTGAAGCACCAAAGGTGTGTTTAGGCCAGTCTTATCGTTGGATGAGTCGCAGTTCTGGAAGCAGCAGGTGGCAAAAAAACCTGAAAATTGCTCCATATTAGCACTTGATATAGAATCGAAATCGTGTAAAAGCAAAGCGGAAATTGATGCCTCTGCTGAGCACTCGAACAGAGAGAATAGAAGCGAATCCGGTCCCGAGTAGAAAAGTTTCTGTTCCACGACTTTCTCCCATTCCGAGTTTCAGAACTTCACCCAAGCAAAATTCCATCCAACTAAATTATCGCGATAATTTAGAATACAATTATGTGCTTCTCTGGCACCTGCGTTGATATTAACCGGCAGTGCGAATTTTGAGACCCGTGCAGCTCTCTACCCGAGACAAATGGGATTCGGATACGTACGCTGTGAGAGCTTGTAGGGCACCTGCTCATGCACAATGGAAGAGACCGGCTTGAGACCGGCTTCCCCCCCTGACAGATTCTACAGCATTGCGTGTTTTACGGGCCAAAGGGAGACTCGCCCGAATCTC